ATTAATGTGAAGGACAAATTCCATCTTGATCACTTCATATTCCTCTACATGAATATCACTAAACTTAATTACAGCCTTTATGATCACCTGGTTAAAGGTGACATTTGACTAGGTCAAAGTTCAGTGATCATCATATAAGAATCCATGATGATCTCAGGTCAAAGGGCTTAGTGACATGGTTATATATGAGATAAAGCTTATGACTTGTATCATGCAGCTTTCTCATAGTTGGTTGGTCTAACACTTGTACCTTTTCAAGTGCCTATGACTTTGATTTATATCTCTATAATTAATTAAAGTCATACTAATCTTGTTTCATCTATGATTCTTCATAGATGATTGATTAAGGATATTTAGGATAATCACTATAGTTTGTCCAAGAACACAGTTATCATAATGAACATGAAATTTATATGATAATAAAAAAGAAATTCATTAAATAATAATGTTCATAATATAATGATTGACCTTAAGACACAATTTTCAATAGGCGTAAAGAACGGGAAGTATACTTCTAAGCTTGGCTATAGACTTGAATACGCTAGGACCCACCCTATTATTTTATCAGCACCTAGTACTTCTACAGCATTTCCAATGGCGTTATCAAAGCATGCGTGGAAACTAAAAAGCCATCCAAAAGTGAAGCACTTCACCTGGAGGGCTCTTAACTTGTCTGTTGCGACTAAATATGCTCTTTTCTCTAGTAAGTGTGCGTCAAATCCTCTTTGCCCTCTTTGCAGTTATCAACCTGAGACCACTGAACACATGCTACTGCTCTGTGATTGGGTAAAGTGCATCTGGTTTGCTCCCCTCTTTGCCTCACCCTTGACCCTTTGCATGTTTCATCTTTTGAGATCTGGTAGAGTTACTTTTTGTCTAATAAAAATCCCTTTGATGCATATGAGAAAGCTTATATTGCATGTTTATGTTGGAATATTTGGAAAATCAAATCAGTATAAGTATTTAATGCTGCTACTCTTAACCCAATTCATGTTCTTAGTACTACCAAGGTTGTCGTTGAGGAATATTGAACCACTAATAATTTAATAGGCCAAACACAACCTGGTGATCATCCATGAATTTGTTGGACTCCACCTGAACATGGTACTGTAAAAATCAATTGTGATGGGCCTTTGTCCCATATTCTAGTAAAGCTACTTTAGGAGTAATTTGTGGAGATCATTATGGTACTTTTCTTCAAGGTTGGAGGGAGCCCATGACAATAGATTCAATTTTTATGACTAAATTCCTTGCTTGCCAGAAAGCTGTTCAGCTTGCCTATTTTTATAGCGCCCAAAAGGTTATAGTAGAAACTAATTGTCTTGATTTATTCAGAGCTTTATCAAAGAAAGACCCCACTTTCTGCACTTGGTCTACTCAAAGTACTCTTGGTGATCTGTTTGCATGGCTTGAATAATCCCACAGTTTCATCTCCTTATCATTTGTCAAGCATGAAGGTAACTTTGCTACTGACTGGTTGGTAGCCTCTTCCTTAAAGGGTGTGGATCCTACTGGTTTACTTCTCAGCATGCCACTCCCTCTTTCAACCATTGTTCAAACTGACTCAGCCTTCTCTTGGTCTTCCTTTCAGCACCCTGTGCTCCAACAAGCAAAGAATGAATCGGTTAAGTTGTGCTTTATTTTGGGTGTCTTTGTTCGTTTGTCTAGACATTTGCCTTTGGGCTTATTATCTTTTTTCTATCTCTGTACTGCACTTTGTTGCATTATTTCTTTGATGTTTTATGAATGGAATGATTTTTTGTTGGTCAAAAAAAAAAAAAAATAGAATGCTATATTTTGAATTTAACAAAGATTGCTTGAGAGCTAAAATATTAATAGGATGTTAATTTGAAAATTTTAGGTTTTATTTATTTTTTTTGGAGAAATGTCACTTAAATTTTTGATATCTTTTTTGAAAATGTTATGAAAATATGAATTTCAATTTATGAACTTCAAATAATGACTTTATAAAAATTTAGACATTGAATTTAAAATAATTCAGATTTACCCAACATTGCATTTTTTTTGAACAAATACCCAACATTGCATTTGAAAATCTATTTTTTTGATAATTTTGAAAAAAAAGAAATTTTAGGGTATTTTAAAAAAATGAAAAAAATGTAAAATTGCATTATTTTATCATCCTAAAGTATTAAAATGTTTTTAATTTTATGTAGAATATAATGACAAAAAAAATTATTAAAAGATTGGAGCATTACCAAAAGCATTAATTAGCAAAGGGGGGGGGATTTTTTTTTTCTCTGCACAAAAATAACCTTTTTATGAACTTGAATATGCAAAATCACTTAAACTAACTATTACCCTCTATTGAATGTGAAGAAAAGTTAAGAGAAAAAAAATAAAAGGAAAGAAAATGAAGAGAATAAAAAACTGAAAAGAAAATATTATTACTCCTCTTATTTGGATGGACAAGAGAAAATAGAGAGGAAAGAAAATAAATAAATATCATAATGTTTATAATGCCCTTATATATCATGTTTCATTATCTTTTTAAAAATAAAATAAAAGAAGAAATTATATTAAAAAATTTATTTTCATATTATTATATTTTAACATCAAATAATTTAGTAAAAATATGTTATTTTTATATTTAAAAATTAAAAGTAGGCACTTTTTAAAATTAAATATAATAACATAAAAATACAAATTATCATAGTATTTAGATAAAAAATAAAAATATAATTTAGGTTAACAAACTTGCCACATGTCTCACCTTTCCTCACCATATGGCTCATCAGCGTCATCATTTTTTTCATTGAGGTCACCTGGTTGAAGATGGGTCTAGCAGAAAAATAGTTAAGAGACAAAGAAGAGAGTTGACAGAAAATATTTTATTCGAGGCAGAGAAGAGGGTTGATAGAGGAAAAAAAATTTTTACTCTCAAAATTTCTCTGCTTGTAAAGAGAAAAGTTGGGAGGAAAATGTAATAAGTTATACATCTCATTTTCTTTCTAACTTTTATTTATTCTCACTTTTTTTCTCATCCAATTAGGGGATAATTTATTTCTCTCCTATTTTCTTCTCATGTTTTCTTTCTTTTCATATTTTCTCTCATTTCAAACAACGCATTAAGGATCAATTTAGACTATTTTTTTAAATATCTTAATTAAAATAATATTCCAACCAAAAGTTAATTGAGATTGTGCTGCATGCCAACCAAAATTAAATTGAAGTTTTATCTCAAGAAAGGGACTCGCTAAGACAGATTGAAATGAGGAAAGGGAAAGAAAATCACTTTAAAAACACATTGACGTACATTTGCTTTCTTAGTAGTTACACGGTATCAGAAAATTTGCTTTCTCATATCATATTCCCAAAACAAGTCAAATGTGCAAGAAAAAATGATAATTTATTCGCGGAAAAAAAAAACCAAACAAAAAACATAAACCTTTCCAAAAGTTGCTTATTTAAATCCTAATCATCATCATCTATGTCTAAGTGGTGTCTACTTAAACACGAATCTCGAACTTTGCATGGATAACAACTCATCAAATTCTTTTATGTCTGTACTGTGCAAGAACGGAATCAGATTCAGCTGACGCCGAGATTCCTTTACTTTTCGAAGAAAGATTCATTCAAAGTTTAAGAAACTAAGAAGGGTTGATTCCGTCCCCTTATAGAAGCCATGGATGAACGATCCAGAAGCAAAAAAATTATGCCTACTTTGTTTTCTTCTTCGTTGGTTTCTAACACATTCCAAGTGCTGACACGAAGATCGGTTCTGAGGCTAACCTTATTCACTTTTATCCTTTTCTGGTTTGTGTACGCTCTTTTCAATGCCTTCTCCCCCGTTCTTGATGATTCCTCCAAGCTCGACACCACTTTCCCATTCAATTCAGACGACTCTGCCGTTTCCCTGAGCCAAATTTCCAGCGAGAATTTCCCCAGCAAATCCCCCGTCAAAGTCTACCTCTATGATCTGCCGACGAGGTTCACCTATGGAGTCATCCAGCACCATTCCTTGGTGCGTGGTGGCCGCGCCGTCGAAGACGTGACCACTCTCAAGTACCCAGGCCACCAGCACATGGCGGAGTGGTACCTCTTCTTGGATCTCATCCGACCCGAACCCGAGCGTGTTGGATCGCCCATTGTTCGGGTATCGGATCCCGAGGAGGCGGACCTGTTCTATGTGGCTTTCTTCTCTTCACTGAGCTTAATCGTGAACCCAACTTTGGTTCCCGCTGAGTTGGACAGTGAGAAGCCGACTTACATTGACGCAGAGAATCAGCAAGCGTTGGTGGAGTGGTTGGGGGAGCAGGAGTATTGGAAGAGGAACAATGGAAGGGACCATGTGATTATAGCTTCGGATCCGAATGCGTTGTATCGGGTCATGGATAGAGTGAAGAATAGTATACTTCTTGTGGCAGATTTTGGGCGTTTGAGACCAGACCAAGGGTCCCTTGTTAAGGATGTCGTCATACCATACTCACATCGCCTCAGAACATACGAGGGTGATGTTGGACTTGAGAATCGCAATACGTTGTTGTTTTTTATGGGTGCCCGATACCGGAAAGAGGTAATAATCAGTCTTGTCTATATATGATGCAAATGAATTTCTCTTACATTGAGCATTTAATCTATTTTCAGTTGTAGTTATGTTAGGTTCTTGAGCTCTTATGGCAAGTTTAGATACCTTCTTGGCAAGTTCTTTATGGTTTATATGATGCAGAATTGCAGATGAATTTGACTGACGGGTACCATTTACTCTCTTTTTAGGATGAGGATTAGAAATTTGTTTGTGATTAATAGGATTGATATATCTGTATAGCTATCACATTGTGAAGTGATTGTTCTTGAGATGATGTGTTTCTCATAAGCGATTTGGCATGGTCATTTTAATGTTTCCCCAGTTATAGTAAATCGCTATTTGTTTTTCCAAGGTTCAAGGAGTAAAACATGATATGCCAACTTTTATAATAAAATGATGAACTGTCTACACAATCTTTGGACGTATGTGGTTTACCTTGTGATACAATCAATCCTTTAGGCAGCAGCAACCACCATATGAGTTTCCGGCCAACCTTGGGTTGGTTAACTTTATGATGCAGAACCAGTTGCAATAGTTACAAGAATTTGTTTGCTTGTTTCTTTAGTTCCTCAGCAACCAGCATAAGAGTTTTGAGTTTGATGTGAAGATCTGGTTCTACTGGTTAAAATTGAAAATAAATAAAGTGCACCATTGGCATGGTATAATGCCAAAGGGACATTTCACAGCTGGTAATATGTGGTGATAGATTCATCTAATGGATGAGCGAAAGATGAAAACCAATGACAAATGATTATGTTGGCAAAGTATAAACTAAGTGAGACAGAACCTTCTTTTAATTTTTCATAAATTGTATTTGGAAAGTAATGTAAAGAATGGGATGTATTTTAGAATTAGAGTATTAGAATTGCTTCTTGTTGTTGGAGATTTTGATTAATGACATATACTATCTACATATAGTGTGTTTGGAAACTCCCAACACACATTTGCCATGCAAATGTCCATTTCAAAAGTGAGGAAAATGGGTTTTTGCAAGTTTCCCAAACATGCTTATAGATGTCTGTGTGTCTACAGTTATTGTTCTAATTTGCAGAATTCCAATTATAAAAGCTACCACGTTTTTGTCCCTTGTCCGCATAACATTTGTATGTGCTTTCATAAAAAGATTGATCTACTCTGCTGTCTTGATTTCATAGAACTCATAAACTGTTTTATGGCAAAACCTGCCCTTCTTTTCCTGTTGATGGGAATCCTAAGAAATTGCCAGACACGGTAAAAGAATTCTTGATTCATGGTCAATGCTTTTAATGCTATGTTAAATTCCTTGGCTTATCATTCATTAACGTTAGTTACTTGGTAACTACCTTCAAAATTATCTTCAGAGCAAATATTTTCCTGTCCTATCAATCCAAGTCCAACTCTTTGTGCAAGTAGATATTGATTTGAATATTATGACTGTTTATATTGAAACCTCTCAAATTACTGATATTCATGTGCAGGCTTCAGTTATTAATTTTGTAATAGAAGTACATAATCATAGGTTTGATTTCTTTTTGCCACATGTATTGTCATAAAGCTGATGTATCTTGCTATTTACATGATGTTATAGTTGCCATAGGTGTTGTGTACTATTATTTAGGATCTATCCAAAGGGAGTTCACATTTAAGAAAGAGTTCAATCTGTATATCCCTTTGTGAAAATTTTATAGCAACGTACCATGACAATAATTTTCTTCTTATTCTTTTTTCATTGCATATATGCTCAAATTAGAAGATTAGCTGCTTCGATGCAGGCACTTTATTTGGACATTTGCCCTGAAATATTGATTTCTTCATGTTATCATCTCTAATAGGGAGGCAAAATTCGTGATAAACTCTTTCAAATTCTTGAACAAGAAGAGGATGTCATAATAAAGCATGGAACTCAGTCCACAGAGAATAGGAGGGCAGCTTCAAAAGGAATGCATACATCAAAGTTTTGTTTACACCCTACTGGCGATACTCCATCTGCCTGCCGGCTCTTCGATGCTATTGTCACTTTGTGTGTTCCAGTGATTGTGAGTGACAATATAGAGTTGCCCTTTGAAGACACCATAGACTATTCGAAGATGGCAATATTTGTTGATTCTGATTCTGCTATAAAACGTAGATATCTGGTGTCAATGTTGAGAGCAGTGAGCCCAGAAAGGATCCTCGAGTATCAGAAAGAACTAAAAAAGGTTAGATGTGCTTTCATAATATATTTATTGTTCATCTTGTAACTAGTTAGTTGTTACTACTGATGACTTGCACCACCTGTTGGTAATTTTTCTAAAGGTTTTAATATGATTCAACAAAGACATGTAAGGTTTACAAATGGAAGGTATAGAAGTGATTTGCTTATTTGAAATATGACAAATGCAATGCATGTAATGAGGAAGAGGCTCATTACATCATAGAGTAGTAGTGTGGGAAATGGTCAAACCTGTTATTCTAGACTCACTCCCTCCAGTCCTTTTTTTAAGTCGCCTTCTAGCACATTGGCTTGGTCCTTAATATTAGTCGCTCACCCTCATTTTGGGCAATTATTAAAGAACATCTCCAAAATTGCCCTCCTGTGTGGTATTCCCAAAAGATGAAAAGCAAGATGTGCAATGATGTTTCAGTTTCTGAAGAACCTCTACACACATCTCCAATTACTTTTATTCTTTTGTTTTGGATTTTCCCCCCACACACTCTCTCTTATGCCAGACGTTGGAAAGTAACTAATATAATTTTTTATATTTAGGGGCAAAATTGGAAAATAATTTATTCTTAAGACATTTTTATTAGTCTAAGTAAATTACCTTGGTTTTGATGAGTTCATTAAAAATGACTTATAAAAAGGATCAGAAAAAGTAAATGATATGAACACCCTTCTTTTGCAATGATTTTTTTTTTCAACTCCTCCGGGCTTTTGATTGTGGCAATCATGGTATTGAAACCCGGACCGGACCGGCCGGGTCAACCCGAAAACCGGTGACCCGGTCCCTTGTCCGGTTTGGGTTTACTCCTAAACTGGTGACGAAATAAACCGGTGTAACCCGGTCAACCCGGGTTCAACCCGGTATAACCCGGTTAACCCGGTGGGTTGACTGGGTTAACCGGGTTATTTTTTTTGAGAATTTTTTTTTCATTTTTTATTTTTCAGAGTGCTGAATTTAGAAATAAGATAACAAAAAAAAAGTAAAACTAAAGTCAAAAAATAAAAAATTAGAGATAGAGCACGCTAAATCCAATTCAGATTTTCAGACGGCATTTATTTCGGCCTTTCATCTGTGTCTCTCCTCTCTCACCCTAACCTAATCAGTGTCTCTTCTCTAGCTTAGTCTCCGTCTCTTCTTCAGGCTCCAGCTCTATCTCCATCTCTTCTCCAGCTCTATCTCTGTCTTTGCTATCTTTATCTCTTCTCCAGCTTAGTCTCTGACTCTTCGTCTTTTTTCTAGCTCAATCTCCGTCTCTTCTCCAACTCTATTTCCATCTCTTCTCTAGACTTTTGAGATTGAAGAGTTGTAAGTATAATGATAGATATTTAAAATATTATATTTTATTACTGTTAGACTTTTGAGTGGTTGAATTTAGTTGAATATTTTTATAATTAATGTCTTTTTATTTAAATTGTATTATTTTAATCATGACCGGTTTGCCACCAGTTCAACCCCCGATTCAACCCTAATTGAACCACTAACCCGTGACCCAGTGCCATAACCGGTTCAATGACCGGTCCGGTTTTACGTACCTTAGTGGCAATGCGTTGGTTTATAGTGACAAGACAATTTCATTGACATTTCTGTGGATAATTTTGCTGCTGCTTAATTGACCAATTACACAAGGTCCCCTTTTTGCTGCAATTCCTATTGTGCCCCATTCTCTGCTAAAGTTGCTTGGTTAATCTGAATTTGCAATGCCTTCTTAAGTATTAAAACTTCTGTCTGCTAAACTATACACTTATTTCAAATTATTTTAATCTTTCCTTTTTTGGATAAAATTATTTTAATCTTTCTATTTCAGTGGTAAGGTGTCTTTCTCCAGATGTCTTTAAGTGAACATTTTTGGTTCTGATGTCTTGAGCTGTGGACAATTTAAGCTTCCATTCAAAAAGTCTTTTCTGTCTATATCAGTGTGGTAGGGTTCATTCATTGTGTTATTTCAAAAACTAGTTTGGGCCTCATGTGTTGCACGAAATTTGAGAAATGAGTTGTACTGTTCATAGGTCATGAATAGTGCGGTTTATTAGAACTTTTTATATCATATATAGATATTGTGATAGAGTTTGTGAGAGTCCTATCCCTACATCTCTTTGTTTTGTAGCTAAAGGATTCTATGAAAAAGGAAAATGTTGTTATGGAAGGGATCATTGGCTCTAGGGTCTTGAGTTTGATGATTTAAGCTTCTGTTCAAAAAGTGTTTTCTTTCTCTATATCAGTGTGGTGTGGTTCATTGATATTGTTTCAAAAATTAGTGTGGGTCTCATGTATTGCATGAAATTTCAGAAATAAGTTGAACTGTTCATAGCTCACGAACAGTGCAATTTTGTAACTAATGGTGTTCTATTAAAAAGGAAAATGTGTTGATGAAAGGTTTTGTTGTTTGCTTCAACTTAATTTTTACGTTCCTGTGAATATACATTCACTTAATTTCATGGTCTCAGGTCAAGCGCTACTTTCAATATGGGGCAGAAGATGGAACGGTTAACGAAATCTGGCGCCAAATTTCTAAAAAGCTTCCATTGATTAGGCTGATGATTAACCGTGAGAAAAGGCTGGTGAGAAATGAACCTGATTGCTCTTGCATGTGTTCAAACAAGACAGCCATTAGAACCTTGTAGCAATTTTCTCGGGACAATGTCAGATTTGAAGGATTTGGTGCTCTATGACTATACAAATTAGGTTTCTTCCTCTTCCAGAATTTGGCATCTATAGATAAGCAGCCTGTAGCTCAGATTCTTCCAACGCTATACTGGAATTGGAACGTGCCATTCATAATGCTGAGGAGGTGAAGAATCACTCACGAATCTGATGGTTAAATTTCGGTAAGGTTTTGAGGGAAAATTAATTATTTCATCTTTAGTTTCATTGAGTTTGTGATTCAATTCCTATAGGTTAACTCATCGCGATTCAGTCTCTATACTTTCCTTCATTAAGTAACTCGTCCCAGGTAGCACTGATGGTGGTTAACAGAGTTAAAATATGCTTAGTTGGCAGCCCCATCAGTGCTACATCAGATAAAATAAATTGAGTTATTAAAAAACAACATAAATAAGTTAGATAAACCCTGCTGGCCAAAAATTAAAAAAATTATTAAATCCCTAGAATCAAACAGAGACTGAAGATAGATGAAGAGGGACCTATAAGGTCGATAAAATAAAAGTATAAGAACTAAATCGTGATGAGTTAAACTATACAAATTGAGATAAAAATTTGATAAAACTGTGCAAGTGATTGTTGTTTGATTTAAAAATCAATGGTTGAATATATATATATATATATATATTAAAATCTACCGGCAAACATCAAAGAAGCTTATAGTTGGGTGAGGGAGTTCACTTGCTGTGGTATAAGTAACATCTGTTTTTGTTGTAGATGGTTCTTTTGTACCCATTATGTCTGGGCTAAGAAGAATTTGAGTTATACGGTGATTAATTTGTACACGGGAGAGAATAAAGTAATTTAGATTTTTTTTTAACTTTTTATTGTAACTTATTCTTCAGTATTTGTTCTATTTTTTACTTCAGTTAACTCAAATTTACTTGTGGCTTGTCTTGTGTTAAGTCAATTCATTATTTTATTTAGCGTGAGACATTATAGAAAAAGAATAGTTTATATAATAATGGCTTAAATGGCAAATTAGCCTCTGAGCTATAGGTCAAGAAACATATTGAGATTATAGCACTAACTTCTTCAAAAAACGGTGCAATATGACTCTTAATATTAATAAATATTAACTTTGACTGTTAATTTACCAAAAAATTATAGAAAGAGATCTATAAATTATAGAAAATGATTAAGAAAATCTTCTTGGTCTTTTTTGCTAATTTTTGAGGTCCTTGTCTGTCATTTTTAGTCTTTTTTTATAATTGTTTGGGGTCCTTTTCAATTAGTTTTTGGTTAACTAATAATAAAAATTAATTTTTGTAAACAGTAGGGACAACTTTGCAATATTTTTAAAAGTTAAAGAGAAATATTGTATTAAAAATAAATTCAGGATCCTAGATGCTTTTATACAAAGTTTTAAAAACCAGATCGATCATTGAATCAGATGAGGTATTGGTTCATGGTTCATTGGTCGAACTGTGGTCTAACCGGATTCGAATCGGTTGACATTAAATTAATATATTTTTAATTTATGTATCATAATTAAATAAGAAATACATTTAAATATGTATTTTTTTTCAAAAATATATTATAGATACTTGGTAATATAATTTATTATTGATAAATACATAATTAATATTAATTATAAGTGAAGCTTTTCATTTAAATATCTTTCAAGAAAGATGTATTTGTCCAGTTTTCTCATGGGAACTGGTTCGTTTTTTATTCAGTTTTATCGGTTGTTGACTGGTTCCATAATGACCTTTTTAGGGGTCAACCAAACCGAACCAAGAGCCGGTTCCCGGTTCACTCGGTTGTCCGGTTTTTAAAACCTTAACTTTTATATTTATAATGTGAGTCAATTTATTGTTTAACCCTATAATAATTGTTTTATTCTTATCCTTGTCATGAGAGTGCGATATGAAGCATGTAATTGTTTTCATATTACATATTCAGTCTTCTCAATCAGAAACCTCAACTTAAAAGGATAAAAAAATATATGCTTTGGATGAGAGAAAAAAGTCTCAAACTTCTTGTTTTGTAACTTTAACAATTTATGCTTGATTGGTAATTATCAAAGGAAGAATTTTTTTATTGCATATGCATATTTATTATATTTTACTTATTATTTAGGATTAAATGGAAAATTAGATTATAAATTATAGGCTGAGGGACAATTTGAAAACCCTGAACAATTATATTTGCAGCAATTTAGACCTCGCCATTAAGTTAGGCCAAATTTTCATTATTTTGAGTGGTGGGCCCCAGATTTGTTGACAGGTGGCATATTTTTGCGACCCTCGTTGGCTGACGTTTGTTTTTTTAAAACTCTTTGAAACAGAAACCTGAACGGAAGGAAGATGAAACAGAAGCCTGAATGTAAGGAAGCTTGAACGTAACTCCTCATTGATAACATTAAATGCCATAATCCTTTGTAACAGCTGAATAAACACTCATGTAACAGTTGAAACTCCTTTATTTAGCATTTAAGTCCTTGGGTCTAAGGTTTAGTATAAATAGCCGTGTCATTTCTTTTGTAAGGCATCAATTTGGAAAATAAACAAAGAACTTTGTTCAGTGAGTGGTTTCTATGCCATTTTTGGTATCAGAGTTGGTCCAAAGAGTGAGAGAGTGAGTTACAGTTGAGAAAGTATGCTGGAGAGAAGAGGGGTTCAGTGGAGGAGTCCCTGACGTCTTCGCGTTTTGCAATCCAGGCATTTTCTCGGAAAACTAACATTACCATCGTGCTTAGGAGGTCTGAAAACGTGAAACAGGAGGTTCCTCGTCACCGGAAAACTTCCCACGCGCCGCCGTCAGAAGTCCACGCGCCTCGCCGCCGATCCACGCGCCGTCACGCACCATCCGCAGGTTGAAGACGCTGACGTCATCTGCCATGTCAACGATCTGACCGGTCAACGGCAGGTCAGCCCAGTAGCATTCAGCCACATGTCATGGTCGCCGCGTCACTCTACTCAGTCAGCCGATTCTTTAGAAATTACATTTTTGCCCCAAATCTTTCGGTAATTTCAAATTTTCCCCTATTTTTATGAAATCTCATATTAACCCCAAAATTTTTTTGAAATTCTATTTTAACCCCTAAACTTTCTTAAAATTACACTTTTGCCCCTTTATTTTACTTGAATTTCATTTTTTACCCTTATATTTTTCATAAATTGCAAGTTGGCCCCCCTTTCTTCCAGAATCTCCATTTTACCCCCTAAACTGTCCAAAATCCCCATTTTGCCCCTAGAATTTCCAAAAATCTCATTTTATCCCTATATCCTTCAACGTTTCCATCGGCACCCCATCTTTCCCATATCCCTAACCTTGACACTTATTCAAAATGCCTCCAAGACGTAGACATGTGCACGAGGTTGAGATGGAAGAGATGAGACGTAGGATACGAGAGTTGGAAGTCGCTGTGGAATTGCAACGAACTTTATTAAACAACAACAGAGAAAACTTAGAGGGAGATTCGGGAAGCAGTAGTTCGTCATCCACTGACAACCGTCGCTGTCCACGACAACAACAATTCCGCCCTAATGACATTAAGGTAGACATTCCTGAATTTGAGGGAAGACTCCAGCCGGACGAGTTTGCGGATTGGCTGCAAACTGTTAACAAGTATTTGAGTACAAGGAGATTTCAGATGCGCAAAAAGTCAAAATTGTTGCCTTCAAACTCAAGAAACATGCTTCTATTTGGTGGGAAAACCTCAGACGGAAGCGAGAACGAGAGGGAAAGTACAAGATTGAGACCTGGGAGAAAATGAAATGCCAGCTCACTAGGAAATTTCTAGCAGATCATTACCACTAGGATAATTTTATCCAGCTGCAAAATCTTTGACAGAGATCTTTATCTGTAGAAGAATATACTAGGGAGTTTGAACAACTCATGATGAAGTGTGATATTCAAAAGAAGGAGGAGCAAACAATAGCCCGGTACCTTGCAGGCTTAAACACAGATATTAGTCGTCCAGTTCAGCTTCAGCAATATTGGACCTTGGATGATGTCATCCGTCTAGCCATGCGTGTTAAGAAGCAGATGCCCAAGACATCCACTTTCCAGCCTTCGTCCTCCAGGGGTTATCCAGAAGGCCGTAAGGCAGAATTTCAGCAGACCAACTCCTCAAGCAAGCCACAACTTATTGCTATGCGCAAACCACCATCTAATGCTGCCAAGGAATATGATTCTCAAGCAGTCAAATGCTTTAACTGCCAAGGATTTGGCCACATTGCTGCGGACTGTCCTACTTGAAGGGTTGTCACCATTAGGGAAGGATCAGGGTATGAAGCACTTGAAGAAGATGAGGAGGACGCTGAGTTCTACGGCATTAATCCTGTATATGATGAGGAGGTTACACTTGCTGATCAAGGAGAAGCATTATTGCTTAGATGAAGTCTGCATACAACAGTAATTAAAGAAGAACCTTGACTACGACGCAACATTTTTCATATTCGTTGCACGGCCCAAGGAAAAGTTTGTAATGTCATCATTGATAGTGGAAGCTGTGAAAATGTAGTATCTGACTACATGGTGGAGAAATTAAAGTTGCCAACACAAGATCATCCGTAACCTTATAAGCTTCACTGGCTCAATAAAGAAAATGAGGTAAAAGTTTCTAAACAATGCCTTATGACTTTTTCTATTGGGAATCGATATTGTGATGAAATTTTATGTGATATTGTTCCTATGGATGCATGCCACCTTCTCTTAGGGAGGCCATGGCAATATGACCAACATGCTATGCACAACGGGTGAGCGAACACATATTCTTTTACGAAAGATGGTGTCAAGTTCACATTAGCGCCTCTACCACCCAATGAGATTAGCCAATCTTCAAGGGAATCTAGTGTCTCGAAGCCGTTAGTGTCTTTGATGACTAAGGAGGAATTTAAGGTATCAAAATTCGAAACCCAAATGATGAGCTTTATTCTGGTGCTTGAGGTGAACGACGAGACGGTAATCTACTAGGAGTCATTCCGTTATTATCAGAATTTTCAGATGTAATATCTGATAAGATACCACCTGGATTACCTCTCATGTGAGACATATATCATGCCATTGACTTTGTTCCAGGAGCAGTCATTCCTAATAAGCCTGCTTACAGGATGAGTCCCTAGGAACATGCCGAAGTCCAACGACAAGTTGAAGAGTTGTTGTAGAAAGGGTTAGTTCGAGAAAGTGTCAGCCCTTATGCTGTACCTGTTCTTCTAGTACCTAAGAAGGATGGGAGTTGGAGAATGTGCATTGACTGTCGAGCCATCAACAAGATCACTATTAAGTATCGATTTCTGATACCTCGGCTTGATGATATGCTAGACCAGTTGCATGGTGCCACTACTTTCTCCAAAATTGACCTTCGTAGTGGGTACTATCAAATCAGAATTCGGCCAGGAGATGAGTGGAACACCGCTTTCAAGACCAGAGATGGCTTATATGAGTGGAATGTGATGCCTTTCGGGTTAACAAATGCCCCTAGCACATTTATGCGCCTGATGAATCAGGTATTGAGACCCTTCATTGGCAAATTCGTTATTGTGTACTTTGACGATATTCTTATTTACAGTAAGAATCAAGAGGAGCATTTATATCACTTGCAGCAAGTTTTGCAAGCCTTACGTGAACAAAGCTTTATGCAAATCTCAAGAAGTGCACCTTCCTCACCAGCGAAGTTGTGTTCTTAGGTTACATCATTACCGCAGAGGGTGTTCGCGTTGATCCAAACAAAGTTGCAGCCATTAACAGCTGGCCAATTCCAAAATCTATCCAGGAGGTTCGAAGCTTCCACGGATTAGCTTCTTTCTACAGGAGGTTCATCCATAATTTTAGCTTAATTGCTGCACCACTTACAGATTGCACCAAAGGAGAGAAGTTTCAGTGGACAGAGCAAGCTCAGAAAAGCTTTGAGGAGCTTAAGAAGAAGTTGA